CTAATTACACAAACAATTTTTTAGACAGGGTCTCACTCTGTCACCCAGGCTGGAGTGCAGTGGTATAAACATGGCCACCACAGCCTCGACCTTCTGGGCTCGAGTGCTCCTCCCACTTTACCCTACCTAGTAGCTGAGACCACAGGCATGTACCAATACATCCGCCTAATTAAAAAAAATTTTTTTTTGTAGATACGTGGGTCTCACTATGTTGAAGAGACTGACCTTGAACTCCTGGGCTCAACTGATACTCCTACCTTGGCCTCCCAAAGTGTTGAGATTACAGGTGTGAGCTATTTGCACCCAGCTGATAAAATCTTAAAAAGAGTAACTTTGGGACCTAATGTAAAATTTCCACTGAGCTGATGTGTCAGAAATTAAGGTAGAATAAGATGGTCCTGGCCGGGCACAGTGGCTCATGCCTGTAATCCCAGCAATTTGCGAGACCAACGTGCAGGACTCACTTGAGGTCAGAAGTTCGAGACTAGTCTAGCCAACATGGTGACACACTGTCTCTACTAAAAATACAAAAATTAGCCTGGAGGTTGCAGTGAGCCCAGATTATGCCAATGCACTCCAGTCTGGGCAACAGAGGGAGACTGTCTCAAAAAGGAAAAAAAAAAAAAAGAAGAAGAAGAAACAAAATCTTAATTTCTTCATCAAGTGTAAAAATGTGAACTGGAATCCAGATGCAGTGTGGCTCACGCTAGTAATCCCAGCACTTTGGGAGGCCGAGGTGGGCGGATCACAAGGTCAGGAGATCAAGACCACGGTGAAACCCCATCTCTACTAAAAATACCAAAAATTAGCCGGGTGTGGTGGCGGGCGCCTGTAGTCCCAGCTACTCAGGAGGCTGAGGCAGGGGAATGGCGTGAACCCGGGAGACGGAGCTTGCAGTGAGCTGAGATCCGGTCACTGCACTCCAGCTTGGACGACAGAGCCAGACTCCGTCTCAAAAAAAAAAAAAAAAAATGGACTGGACTCTGGAGGAACAATACATAAAAACACACACAGGCACTATTTTTTTTGAAGATTGATTGAGAAATATTAATAACATATCACAGAAGCCACCCATTGAAAGTATAAAATTCAACGGTTTTCAGTATGCAATAAATTTTAGATCATTTTCATTACCCTGAAGAAAACTCCATATCCCTCCATTTCCCCGCAACTTCCCTAATCCTGGGCCACCACTAATCTACTTTCTGTTTCTATGTATTGTTCTATTTTGGACATTTTATTTCAATGGAATTACATAACCTGTGGTGTTTTGTGACTGGCTTTTTTCACATAGCATCATATTTTCCAGGTTTATTAAATGTTGCATGTGCAGAGGGGGCACTTTACATAAGGATAAACCTGGGGCGGGGAGTGCTTATTGATTTTGAAAATTCAAAATTGTAAAAGGGAAATTATTGGTTTCAAATAGAGGAAAAACCTATTTGGGCTAAAATCCTCCATTCTCGCCAGTTTGTAATGTGGAGTTTTATTGCAAAGAATTCTAAGGTTTTTATGCACATTTTCTGCAAATTCTCCCTGTGTTTGTGGAACAGTCACAGAATGTGGAAGTGTGGGCTTCTGGACTCTGTGGCTGGAGATTCGAGTCCAGGAGAACTCAGGTCCCAGGGTAGGCAGAGGAAAACAGTGCCAGAGTGGCAATAGAACTCTTTGAAATGGAAAATTTAAAATGTTCCCTCCCAAAGGAGTCCCAGATAACCACACAAAAGAGGAGTTTGCTGAGCCGATCAGTCGCAATTGTCCAATAAGATGCAGACAGGCTGGGAAAAAAGGAAGTTTATTTCTGCAACCGGTTAGGTGGAGAAGGGCCAAGTAACTCACCAGAGCAACTCAAAGTTACAAGTTTTTTTCTAGTGCTTATAAACATCTTCAGCTCCATGCTATGGTGGGATTGCACCTACAAGCAGGAGTGTTGCATTCAACCAACATCTAATCTTTAACTAGGGTCTAGGATCTGGAAAGATTTCTCTAGAGTCTTAGAAAGTTTCTGAATCTTAAGACAGGCCGAGGTGAATGTATAAGAATGCTATTATTATTCTATCAGACTTTAGGGTCTGAGAAGACCCAGGCACGGTCTTAATGGGTTTGTTTTTGCATTCCATCCCTGATACTCAGGTGAAGGGGGCCCGCCCCTCCACACCTGTGGGTGTTTCTCATCAGGTGGGACAAGAGACTGAGAAAATATATAAGACACAGAGACAAAGTATAGAGAAAGAACAGTGGGCCCAGGGGACCGGCACTCAGCATCCAGAGAACCCGCGCTGGCACTGGTCCCTGAGTTCCCTCAGTATTTATTGATCACTCTCTCTACCATCTCAGAGAGGGGGCTGTGGCAGGACTATAGGGTAATGGTGGGGAGAGGGTCAGCAGGAAAACGTGAGCAAAGATCTCTGTGTCATAAATAAGTTTAAGGAAAGATGCTGTGCCTGGATGTGCACGTAGGCCAGATTTATGTTTGACTTTACACAAACATCTCAGTGCATTAAAGAGCAGTGTTGCAGCCAGCATGTCTCACCTCCAGCCATAAGGCGGTTTTCTCCTATCTCAGTAAATAGAACGTATGATCGGGTTTTACGCTGACACATTCCATTCCCAGGGACAAGCAGGAGACAGATGCCTTCCTCTTATCTCAACTGCAAAAAGGCCTTCCTCTTTCACTGATCCTCCTCAGCACAGACCCTTTACAGCTGTCGGGCTGGGGGAGGGTCAGGTCTTTCCCTTCTCAGGAGGCCATATCTCAGGCTATCACATGGGGAGAAACCTTGGACAATACCTGGCTTTCCTAGGCAGAGGTCCCTGTGGTCTTCCGCAATGTATTCTGTCCCTGGGTACTTGAGATTAGAGAATGGTGATGACTTTTAATAACCATACTGCCTTCAAGCATTTGTTTAACAAAGCACATCCTGCATGGCCCTAAATCCATTAAATCTTGAGTCAACACAGCACATGCCTCTGCAAGCACAGGGTTGGGGCTAGGGTTACAGACTAACAGCATCTCAAGGCAAAAGAATTTCTCTTAGTACAGAACAAAATGGAGTCTCTTATGTGGACTTTCTACATAGACACAGTAACAGTCTGATCTCTCTTTCTTTTCCCCACACTCAGGCACCAGTTTCTCCATTTCCTTAAAGTTTAACTTATGCATTCATCACAATTATAGTAAAGGGTTAGTGGAAACTGTTCTGGTTGCTAATGGAAACCTCGCCTGCCACACTGCCATCGGAACTGAAGCCCACTACAGAACACTGAAAATGCCTGCAAACACTGACTTTACTGACAACTCTTAAATTACAGAAAATCAAGTTAATGCTCCCTCCCAGCTCTGTCCTCCAGAATTGCTAGTTAGAAACGTGCACATTTTCCTAGGTTCAGTTTTGCATAGATGGAGCTCGTCAGCGAAAGCATTTGTTTGATTTCATGCATTAATGTTTCCTTTTGTCATTTCCTTTTTATTTATTTATTTATTTATTTATTTATTTATTTATTTATTTATTTAGAGACAGTTTCCATCCTCTCTCTCAGGCTGGAGTGCAATGTCGCGGTCTCGGCTTACTGCAACCTCCGCCTCCCGAGTTCAAACGATTCTCCTGCCTCAGCCTCCCAAGTAGCTAGGATTACAGGCATGCACCACCACGCGTGGCTAATTGTTTTTTTTTTTTTTTTTTGAGACGGAGTTTCGCTCTTGTTGCCCATGCTGGAGTGCAATTGCGTGATCTTGGCTCACCGTAACCTCCGTCTCCCGGGTTCAAGCGATTCTCCTGCCTCAGCCTCCCGAGTAGTTGGGATTACAGGCATACGCCACCACCGCGGCTAATTTTGTATTTTTAGTAGGGACGGGGTTTCTCCATGTTGGTCAGGCTGGTCTTCAACTCCCGACCTCAGGTGATCCACCCGCCTCGGCCTCTTAAAGTGCTGCGATTACAGGCGTGAGCCATCGCACCCAGCCAATTTTTGTATTTTTAGTAGGGACGGGGTTTCACCACGTTGCCTAGGATGGTCTTGAACTCCTGAGCTCAGGGAATCCACCTGCCTCGGCCTCCCAAAGTGCTGGGGTTACAGGCTTGAGCCACCACGCCCGGCATTTATTTTATTTTATTTTATTTTATTTTATTTTATTTATTTTATTTTATTTTATTTTAGACAGAGTCTCACTCTGTCGCCCAGGCTGGAGCGCAGGGGCGCGATCTCGGCTCACTGCAACCTCCGCTTCCGGGGTGCAAGCGAGTCTTGTGCCTCCGCCTCCTGAGTAGCTGGGATTACAGGCGCCCGCCACCACGCCTGGCTAATTTTTGTATTTTTAGTACAGACGGGGGTTTCATGTTGGCGGCCGGACTGGTCTCGAACTCCTGACCTCAAGTGATCTGCCCGCCTCGGCCTCCCAAAGTGCTGGAACTACAGGCGTGAACCACCGCGCCCAGCCCCATTTCCTTTATTTTATTTTATTATTTTCAGACGGAGTTTCGCTCTTGCCGCGCAGGCTGGTGTGCAGTGACGCGATCTCGGCTCACTGCAACCTCTACCTCCCCGGTTCAAGCGATTCTCCTGCATCAGCCTCCGGAGTAGCTGGGATTACAGGCACACGCCACTACGTCCGGCTATATTTCTTTTCTTTTCTTTTCTTTTTTTTTTTTTGAGACGGAGTCTGGCTCTGTCGCCCAGGCTGGAGTGCAGTGGCCCGATCTCAGCTCACTGCAAGCTCCGCCGCTCGGGTTCCTGCCATTCTCCTGCCTCAGCCTCCCCAGTAGCTGGGACTACAGGCGCCTGCCACCTCGCCCGGCTAGTTTTTTGTATTTTTAGTAGAGACGGGGTTTCACCGTGATCTCGAACCCCTGATCTCGTGATCCGCCCGTCTCGGCCTCCCAAAGTGCTGGGATTACAGGCGTGAGCCACCACGCCCGGCCATTTCTTTTATTTTTAATTTTTATAATTTACTAGCCTGTTTGTTGATCACAAGACTGGGACTGGCAGTGAACAAGGTTGGGTCTCGGTGTTCACCGGGCGGAGGGCATGGGCCAGGTGGGAGGGTCTCCTGCGTCTGCTGCAAATCTCCATGAAAGTGTAGGAAACAGCACCAAACGTAACTGCAAAGTTTGGGTTTGGCGCGCGGGTAGGCGTTCCACCGCAGATAAGCGGAGGAAAGCTTTGGCTGCGCTTGTAGGCAGGTCGGCCCCAAGCACTTCTTATTGGCTAATGTGGAGCAAACCTGCACATCCATTGGCTGAAAGCTCCGTCTATTTGAGGCTGACTGAAAGCGTCCCTTCCTTCTGTGTTGGCTGGAAACGGACTGTCCGCCTAGTCATATCTGATCGCGTTTCCCATTGGTCACCGTTTCCGGAAGCCCGCCTTCGCGTTTCCGGAATCCCATAACAGGCTGGGTCTGCAGATGGTGTCCAGGTCCGCCGTGGCAAGTGTGGTTCCGCAGTCTTGGGCTGTTCCACCTAGCACCCGCTGGACATGGGACGCCGGAGGGTCAGCGGCGTTTAGTCCTCGCCATCATCGTCCTCAGGTATGAAATCGGCCATCGCCAGGGCGGGAACAGGAACCTGGGCTGCGTCCCGGCCCATCCCCATCAGTCCACCGGACTCACGGACGCCCTCACTGGCGCTGACACAATTTCTTGACCTCTGACCCGTATTGTCTCGAGATTAAAGGTAAAAACGGGGCTTTTTCATCTCACTCGGGTAAAACGCCCTTTTTATTTCTAGGCAAGTGTTTTGTTGCAGAACGCCTCGAAGGGAGGGAGTGACCGGCAGGTTGAGGTTTATTAAATAAAATACATTCTTGGCTTATATAATGTTCATGATAAAGCACCCCAACCCTTAACAAATCTCACTTTTTGCCAATTGTATTATTTAGTGGACTGTCTCTGATAAGGACAGCCAGTTAAAATGGCTTTTTGTTGTTGTTGCTAATTAAACCAATTTTTAGTTTTGGTGGCTGTCCTAAAAGAAGCACCTTCTCAGGCTTTATAAAATCATATTTCTTGTGGGAAATTTCTGTGAAAGGCACAGCGAGTTAGTTTGGAATTGTTTTAAAGGAAGTAAGCTCCTGGTTTTGATATCTTAGTAGTAGTATTTTCCCCAATGCCTTTGAAATCTTAATTTTGGGGCACGTGTGTAGAGTAACTTTTGTGAAAGAAACAACCAGTTAAGGAGGTTTTGGAATTTCCTTTATGAAGTATAATACTGGTTTTGATTTTTTTTTTTTTTTTAGTAGAGATGGGTTTTGCCATGTTGGCTAGTCTTGAACTCCTGACCTCAGGTGATCTGCCCACTTCATCCTACCAAAGTGCTGGGATTACAGGCATGAGCCACAACGCCTGACCTATTCTCCAACTTTCAAAATTATTTTTAAAAGTTGTTTTCTCTAATCTAGGTCCTTTGCATGTCCATATGTATTTTAGAATTGGGTTGCCAATTTCTGCAAAACAAAAGCCTCCCCAATATTCAAATTGGAATTTCACTGAATCTATACGTCAGTTTGGAAAGAACTGACATATTAACGGTATTGAGTCTTCTAATCTCTGAACACAGTATATCTCCCTGTTTAGGTCTTTTTTCAAGTTCTCCTAGAAGTGTTTTTAATTTTTATACTATATATCTTGCACTTCTTTTGCCAGATGCATCAGTATGTATTTCATACTGTTTATGGTGTTATAAATGGCATTTAAGGTTTTAAGGATCAGATTGTTCATGGCTAGTACATGCAAAATCTTCTGCTTTATATATATTGATCTTTATTTTGCAATCTCACTAAGCTCATTTAGTTCTACTAGTGTTGTAGATACCATCAGATTTTTTTTATATAGACAATCATATAGTCCGTTAATAAAGATGATTTTACTTCCTTTCTAGTCTGGATACATTGTATTCTTTTGTTTATTGCACTAGCTAGCACTTCTAGTATAATGCTTAGTAGAAGTGTTGAGACCAGGTGTCCTTCTCTTTTTGCTGATCTTTGGGCTTTTACCATTAAGTATCATGTTAGCAGTAGATTTCTCACACATACTCTTCATTGGTTAAGGAAATTCCCAGAATCCCAGAATTCTCTTCCTCCTTAACTGAATTATTCTCCTTAATGAATGCTGGATGCCTAGTAAATTTTTTTTTTTTTTTTTTTTTGTAAGACAGAGTCTCATCTGTCGCCCAGGCTGGAGTGCAGTAGTGCAGTCTCAGCTCACTGCAACCTCCGTCTCCCAGGTTCAAGCTATTCTCCTGCCTCAGGCTCCTGAGTAGCTGGTATTATAGACCTGGCATTTTTTTTTTTTTTTTTTTTTTTTTTTTGTATTTTTAGTAGAGACAGGGTTTTGCCGTGTTGACCAGGCTGGTCTCAAACTCCTGACCTCAGGTGATCCGCCTGCCTCAGCCTCCCAAAGTGCTGGAATTACAGGCTTGAGCCATCACACCCAGCCGATGCCTAGTAATTTTTTATTTTCCACTTTGGCTGTTGGGAAAAGGAATTATTCCTGGCCCTTTTTGAGCTCTGTGGATTCTTCCCTCTAATCCTTTAAGGTAGTTATTTTTCCCTGGCTTCAGGTAGTTTTCACACACACGTGTTGATGAATATTTAGCTGAACTTAACGAAGATCCTCTGTAGATTTTTCTCTTCTCATCAGTGTTTTGCCTTGTCAACTCTGGCCACTTTGGTCTCATCAGATTCCTCATTCTATCTCAACACTAGGAGACCACTAGGCTCTGCCTGAGTTACCCCTCCCAGCAGTAGTCTGGAAAAACTGGACGAAAAATTTATTTCTGTTTTTTCAGGGATCACTGTTCTTCATTGGAAATTGACATTTTTGTATATTCAATGTCCTAAAAACCATTGTTTCACCTATTTTGTTTAGCTTTTTAGTATTTACAGATATAAGGGTAAATCTGGTCTGTTTCTCCATTTGACCAGAAGCAGACATCTGTTCATTCTGTTAATGGTGACTTTCAGTCAACAGAATAATAAAATTAATATGAATATGCCACACTTTTCTAGTTAAAATGTTTTGTCTAGGAAATATTCTTTACTGTGAGGTTGTAAAATGATTCTCAGATAAAAACAAGGTAAAATCAAAGGTGGCTACTTTCCAACCTTGCTCTCTCCCACCTATGGGTTGTATTTTAATTTTTCTTAAGAGACAGGGGTCTTGCTCTGTTGTCCAGATTGCACTTGAACTCCTGGGCTCAAGGGATCCTCCTACCATATCCTCCCAGGTAGCTAGGATTACAGGCATGCACTATCACACCCAGCTCCCACCTATTATTTCATCATTTTGATTAGGTCTTGGCTTATCCTTCCACTGTGTTTTGAAAGTATAAACGGCTGGGCACGGTGGCTCAAGCCTGTAATCCCAGCAGTTTGGGAGGCCGAGACGGGTGGATCATGAGGTCAGGAGATCGAGACCATCCTGGCTAACACGGTGAAACCCCGTCTCTACTAAAAAATACAAAAAACTAGCCAGGCGAGGTGGCGGGTGCCTGTAGTCCCAGCTACTCCGGAGGCTGAGGCAGGAGAATGGCATGAACCCGGGAGGCGGAGCTTGCAGTGAGCTGAGATCCGGACACTGCACTCCAGCCTGGGCAACAGAGTGAGACTCCATCTAAAAAAAAAAAAAAAAGAAAAGAAAGTATAAACATAGCTGAGCACGGTGGTTCATGCCTATAATCCCAACACTTTGGGAGGCCAAGGCGAGCAGATCACAAGGTCAAGGTATCTTGATCATCCTGGCCAACATGGTGAAACCCCGTCTCTACTAAAAATATAAAAACTAGCTGGGCATGGTGGCGCATGCCTGTAGTCCCAGCTACTCAAGAGACTGAGGCAGGAGAATCTTTTGAACCCAGGAGGCGGAGGTTGCACTGAGCCAGGCAGATTGTGTAAGTGTACTCCAGCCTAGGCAGCAGAGTGAGACTCCATCTCAAAAAAAAAAAAAAAAGAGAAAGTATAAACATATATAGCAGTCTGCCCTTCTCACAAAAATTAGCACATTATTCTACACCCTCCCTTTTTTTTTTTTTTTGAGACGGAATCTTGCTCTGTCGCCCAGGCTGGAGTGCAGTGGCCGGATCTCAGCTCACTGCAAGCTCCGCCTCCCGGGTTCCCGCCATTCTCCGGCCTCAGCCTCCCGAGTAGCTGGGACTACAGGCGCCCGCCACCTCGCCCGGCTAGTTTTTTGTATTTTTTAGTAGATACGGGGTTTCACCGTGTTAGCCAGGATGGTCTTGATTTCCCGACCTCGTGATCCACCCGTCTCGGCCTCCCAAAGTGCTGGGATTACAGGCTTGAGCCACCGCGCCCGGCCTACACCCTCCTATTTTTTATATAACATAATCTGAAGATTACGAAATATAATCTGAAGATTATGAAATATACAGTTGCACAATACACCTTGTACGTATATATCTGAGAGTTAATTCAGCCCATCCATTGCTGGAAATCTTTCCAGTCTGTTGCATTTACAAATATTTACATTCCTTTGTGCATACTACATAATCTTACTAGTGTATCTTCCGGATAGAAGCAAGCAGCCTAGGTCACATGATATATGCATGTAAGATTGCACATCGACATTATTCAGTTCCCTCTTACAAGAGTTGTACAGTTTCACATTTTCACAATATGAATTCTTCTTTCTCCAGTCTTGCCAATATGAGTATTTTAATATACTTTTGGATTTTTGCTCATCTGATTGTCATACAGTGATATGCAGTATAAATTGCATTTTCTTTATGAGGAATATGAAGCATCTTCTTAAAGGTTTAAGGGTCTTTAATTTATCTTTTCCTATAAAATACCTATTTATGTCTTTTGCCTATTTCTATATCAGGCTGTAGGATCTTTCACATCTCAGTTTTTACATGTTTACATGTATTAAGTGAATGACTCTGTCACATAAGTTGCAGACATCTCCAATTTGTTTATATTTGTAGTCCCACAACAAATTATTGATTCTTCCTCATTTTTACTGGATTTCTGAGTCACAGTTATTGATTTCCTAATTCCCATGTCATAAAGAAATTTGCCCATGTTTACTTCTAGTACTGGTAAAGTTTCTTTTTGTTTTGTTCTTACATTTATATCTCCTGATTTATTGGGACTATATCCTGCTTTACACTGCCACGAATGATTCTAATCTTTTTTTTTTTCCAGAAAGGTTATAAACCTGTACCAACACTAATTATCAAAAAGTTCTTCATTTTCAAAACGGTTCCAGCGTAATGTCTCCTGCAAAGAAAGGTGATTAGGAAAAAATAAAGGGCTGTTTTGTCATACATGAGGCAGACTTGAGACATTATCAACATTCAAAAATACATAAATGGAGTAGAGGTTCAATAAGCACGCAACTCAAGCATTCAAGAAGATCCAGAAATTCACCATGAAGGGGATGGGAGCACCAGCTATGCACACAGACACCAAACTCAACAAGGCAGTCTGGGCCAGCAAAAAAAAACCTCCCCTAACCAAAAGGGAATGAACCATACTTATCTGTATATAGATGGGCAGAAAGAGTAATGTGGA